TAGACATCCAATAAACACATTTTGTAAAAGTTCTATGATATCTAAGGTAGTTTAGGATTCATATAATATTATTGAGTTCTAGCATACATTCTGCTAAAGAAAACTAAAATGTAAATTAAAGAGAAATATTTTTAAAGAGGTTTAGAAAATATCTGGAAGAATGATTCTTATGTTTCTTGGTTTGTGAAATTTTCATTTCTTTTGAACTGATTTTTGAGATGGCAAATAGCACAATTACAGACAGCCATTAGGAATTGTGGAGAATTACTGAGTCAATATTAGAATCTGTTTTTATCATCATTTATTAAAAATGTGTGGTTTTTTTTTTTTAGAAATGGGCAAGTTCAAATTTTCTAATACTTAAAGGTTTTAGTGTAGGATAACCTTTCCTTTAGTACATCAGCATTCGGTATACTCCTAGATACTCCTCCTAGCCAAATTAACTATCACATAAATTGTTAAATAGATATTTAACATAGAAACTAAAAGTATGTTTTTCTTGCAGTTTTAATATACATAATCACGCATCCATATTGTTTAGAAGGATTTTTGTTTTGTTGACATTGATTCTTATTGGAATCTATTATGCTTTGACAATAGATATAATAAAATACAAAACTTTAAACCATAGAGGGGTAGATTTATGCAATGTTTTATACTCTAATCATGACATGGCTTTGGGAAAAACTTTTTTTATAGAAAACTCATGTCTCATTTAGCTTACTCTTATTTATGTGTTGAAAGTTGTGTGCATACTAATTTAGTTAACCTAATTTTTTGCAAGTGGTAGGATATATGTCTATGTAATTTTCTTCATAAAAAGATACACAGAATTATACTTCATTGAATGTGTCTAGTTCTGAACATGAACTATTTCAGTAGACTCAAATAGCTAATAAATTTTTCATTATAAATTAGTGATAATAGTAAATTGGTTTCCTTATATCGAATTTTACAATCAAGATACCTTTGCATTGATTCCAAAAGTAAACATCATAGATTTAATTTTTTTTTTGCAGTGTGATGCCACCTGGCAATCAATATACTAGTTTCTAAATATTTTAGGAGCAAACTTAAGTGAGTGTTGCTTATTTAATTAATTATAGGGAAGTATGACTTATAAATACAAATTGAGAGTACTTGAAATCTAGTAACATCCTGGCTGGCACTGTGGTGTAGAAAGTTAAGCCTCCGTTTGTAGTGTTGGCATCCCACATGGGAGCCAGTTCATTCCGGCTGCTCCATTTCCAATCTATCTCCCTCATAATGGACCTGGGAAAGCATTGGAAGATGGCACAAATCCCTGGGCCCCTGCACCCATGTGGGAGACCTGGAAGAAGCTCCTGGCTCCTGGCTATGGCCTGGCCTAGCCCTGGCTGTTGCAGCCTATTGAGGAGTCAACTAGCAGATGGAAGATCTCTCTCTCTCTTTTTCTTTTGTATTTCTGCCTTTCAAATAAATAAATAATTTTTTTAAAAAATCCAATAATATATTTAAAATTCAGTATTTACATGAGTAGATGAAACAAATGTAGTTTGAAACTGCATATTTAGAAACATTTTACAAAAAAGATACCACTTAATGGATGATAATGAAATTAGTGATAAGAAAGTATCAGAAACTTGTTTCTGCATTTTTATGTTAAAACATTGTATGAAAAAAATACAAATTTTTTACATTTACATTTGTTAGTGATCTTGAATAGATATTTGCAATGCTCTTTTTGCTCAAAATTGGCTAAAAATATTTTGACACTACAAATTCTGTTACATCCATATTATCACAGTTTTAATGAAAGAATTACTGCTGGCTGCATATTGGAAATTCCTAGACCAGACCAGTTAGATTAGACTCTCCATTCTAAATTGTTATCCTATAAATCTTAATAGATGATAGAGTACCTAGTACAGCTTCAAAGCAGTTCCTTCTTCCTTCCTTCCTTCCTTCCTTCCTTCCTTCCTTCCTTCCTTCCTTTTTGACAGGCAGAGTGGACAGTGAGAGAGAGAGAGAGAGAGAGAGAGAAAGGTCTTCCTTTTGCCGTTGGTTCACCCTCCAATGGCCGCCGCGGCCGGCGCATCACGCGGATCCGAAGCCAGGAGCCAGGTGCTTCTCCTGGTCTCCCATGGGGTGCAGGGCCCAAGCACTTGGGCCATCCTCTACTGCACTCCCTGGCCACAGCAGAGAGCTGGCCTGGAAGAGGGGCAACTGGGACAGAATCCGGCACCCTGACCGGGACTAGAACCCGGTGTGCTGGTGCCGCAGGCGGAGGATTAGCCTATTGAGCCGCGGCGCCAGCCTCAAAGCAGTTTTTTCATAAAAAAGTGTGCTGTTGTCACTGAATCGTGCCAGGAACATCAGTTTCTGGTTCTTTGCCTTTAAGGAATATATTTGCATGATGCATAGTCACCAGATGTGTTTATACATCTCCTTAGGAAAAGTCAAGTGAAACATAGCATTGAAGTACCTACATAGGAAGAATTAGGACATGAGCAGTTTTTAAGACCAAGTTATTGAGGGATACAATGAATTGTTGTTTTCTGGATGTCAGATTTTTGTTATATTTTTAAATTCCAAGACTTCTTAAATCAGTTTTCAATTTAATGACTAATTTTTCTTCTTCTGGGAAATGCCCCATCCTCACAAATATTTCATTGTTTCTTTCATTTATTTATTTTTGAATATTTAATGCTTTATTTGAAAGAGTTACAGAGAGAGAAGGAGAGATTGATTCATCATTCATCCACTGGTTCACTCCCTAAATGGCTGCAATGGCTAGGGATAGGCCAGGCAAAAGCCAGGAGCCAGGCACTCTATCTGGGTCTCCCACATAGGTGTCAAGAACCCAAGCACTTGGGCCATCTGCCCCTGACTTCTCAGGTGCATTAGCAAGGAGCTGGATTGGAAGTGGAACAGCCAGAAATGCCAGAGTCGCAAATAGCGACTTGGTCCACCACAAAGCCAGCCCCTCAGTGTTTGTTTTAATTTATCACAGTATTTTAAAGTGAATCAGATTTACATCATCAGATCATTTTACTAGGTACCTGAAATTTTAGGGAGAAAGGTTTACAAATTTCAATAGTCATATTTGGATAATATTGTTATTAGTAATATTATCAATAACCTTTCTTTCAAGAGGTATTGCTTAAAGTAGAGCAACTTTATAACTAAACATGGAATGTTGTACAAAAAATAAATTTCAAAAAAAACTTCCTTTTGCAACTTATTTATAAACAAAGGTGGTGCAGTAGAGGTTTAGGAATCTATGATCTTTGGTACCATATATATATATATATTTTTTTTTTTTTTGACAGGCAGAGTTAGTGAGAGAGACAGACAGAGAGAAAGGTCTTCCTTCAGTTGGTTCACTCCCCAAATGGCCGCCATGGTCGGTGTGCAGCGCCAATCTGAAGCCAGGAGCCGGGTGCTTCCTCTTGGTCTCCCATGTGGGTGCAGGGCCCAACCACTTCCCGGGCGACAGCAGAGAGCTGGACTGGAAGAGGGGCATCCAGGACAGAATCCTGCGCCCCGACCGGGACTAGAACCCGGGGTGCCGTCGCCACAGGTGGAGGATTAGACTAGTGAGCCGCGGCGCCAGCCAAGTACCATATATATTAAAATACATGATTTTGAGAGAGAGAGAGAGATGGACCCTGAGGAAAATTTTAAAATAGTAAAGTTTCTAATACAAACCTCATACATAGAATCTACTAATGTTTTCTATGTGACATTTTTGAAACACATCAGTATTTATTATAGCATGTATGGCATTTGCCTTAAACATTTCTGAGATATATAAAAGGTAAGGAGAAGCACCACAAAAAGGTTGAAGTGTATGGACTATTATGCCTGGAAATCTTAAACACTTAGAAAATATTTCCTGTTTCATTTCTTTTATAGTCCCAATACTTACCATGCCTGTCATAACTGTAAAATTCTTTATTTGTGACATTACAGGTATCAGCTAACCATATTTCCCCAACAGTTAGCTGGATATCTCAATTTTAGCTGGCATGCCTTAGTTATTCTCTTTAATTTTTCTCTTTGATTCATGGTTAGAAAAAGTTTGTTTTGCCAACTGATACTTAAAATATGAAAGGCCATTTATTTCCTTGCTTTTTTTCTTGTGTGCTCTTTTCACTTAGATTTGCCCACTCTCTGTACTTTTGTCTATGAATGTACTGAAATTAAGGTGTCTGCCTTTTTTTGATACTTTTTGTCATTATATTTTAACTTAAAAGTTAAAAGTGAAGATTATATATTCATGTTTACAAAGTTGGAATATTTAAAAACATTTATAGTTTCAGTAAAATTGAATGCTTTGTCATTTGTCTTCCTTTGCCAAACGTTACTCTCGATATTTAATCTACTGTGTTAAATCACTGTGTTCTAAAAACATGCAGATCATGTTTTTCAGTTGATGACAGAAAATAGAGACTGGAGAATAAGTTTGAAATGTATGATATATTTCAGAAGGGTAGAGAGGCACTTATTTTTTAAAAAACTTTTTATGACAAAATAGTCTTAAATTTACAAGACAAAAATTGTGAATAGTACAAAGAATTCCCATAATTCTCACTTTCAGGTCCCCTCCTCTATTGTTGTTGCCTTAAATGAGTGTGATATATTTGTCACAGTCTGTTTAGTTTGATGAATATCATTTAGACATCATCACTAGATGGCGAGTTCTAGCATGGTACTGAAAATACCTTGTGAGCAGGAAGGATAGATTAACCCTGTTTTATGTACTTGTGTGTTTCTTAGTCAATTTAAAGAACAACAAAGTAGCCCTTCCTTGGTATGAGGTACATCTATAGCACATATTTATTTCAGTGATTCGAGTTACAAACTTTGCTACACGGGGTGTCTCATTGTGGGATACATACACTTCAAGATTATAATATTCTTAACCCTTTGCTTTATAGACTGAAGAAGTAATGCTTAAAGTGTTGCTCTCTCGACTGTAACACCATTAAGCTTTCCATTCCTTTTCTACTGCACAGGTGACTTGGATTATTACTGGTTGGATCCTGCTACGTGGCACAGCCGGGAAACATCCCCTATTAGTTCGGTAAGCTCTATGGAAAGTGAGTGTTGTCCATGTCCTTTGTCCGGTATGTGATGGATAGTAATCTTGTTCTGCTCCAGTATACATCTTCTGAGAGCAAAGATTAATTTCATTTAGGACAGTATAATTTTGGAGAAACAGTTATCATGGAATAATTAAAACAAAAATTAAGCCAAAAAGCAATAACTAAATAATTACTATATGTAAATGAGATTGAGAACGGAAAGGGCAGGTTTAAAGAGTTTCCTCTAGAGTGTTTTCTAAATTTTTAAAAAATATTTGAGAAGCAGAGAGGTAGATGGGCAGAGAAGGAGGGCACTCCCGTCCTCTGGTTCAGTCACCAAATGACCACAACGAATGGGACTGGGTGAGGACTGGAGACAGGATTCTGGCTTCCACATAGGAGGCAGGAATCCAATCTTTTAGTCGTTGCCTCTGCCACCCTGGGTCTGAATTAACAAGGAGCTTGAGTTAAGAGCCAGAGCAAGGAATTGAACTCAGGTATTCAAGTGTGGGAAGTAGGCATCTTAACTGCTGTGCTAGACATCTGATCTTTTAGTATCTTTTCACTGAAGAACTAATATCATGCTGCAACCAATAACTGTGTGTCTGAAAGAAATAAAGTTATTTTTAACTTTATTTATACTTTAATAGCATCCTGTAACGTGGCAGCCATCTAAAGAAGGGGACCGATTAATTGGACGTGTTATTCTTAACAAGAGAACAACCATGCCCAAAGAATCAGGTGCATTACTGGGTCTGAAAGTAAGTTTACTGACTTAGCATGTTTCTTTTTTTTGTTGTTTGAGATTTATTTATTTGAAGGGCAGAGTTAGAAAAAGACACAGAGAGACAGAGACAGAGAGACAGAGAGAGGTCTTCCATTTGATTCATTTTCCAAGTAGCTGCAATGACCAGGCCAAAGCTTGGAGCCAGGAGTTTCTTCTGGGTCTTACACATGACTTAGGCCATCTTTCACTGCTTTCCCAGGAATATTAGCAAGGAGATAGATCGGAAGTGGAGCAGCTGAGACTCGCCCTTATGGGACCCTGGAATTACAGGCTTTGGCTTAAACTTCTGTGCTGCAGCACCAGCCTCAACATGTTTTTTTAGAGGGCGATTTATAGTATGGACTTTATTCAGTAAGGTTTCTGACAGCTGTTTTTAAGTATCTTCCTCTCCTCTGTAAAATAAAATTCCTCTTGTGCAAATATATTGTTAATATGTCCATGTCTTATGGTATATGTAATATTTTAATCTGGATTAATATATTCCTAAATCATTGTGTTAATAGAGCATACAAATTTGTTAGGAAAATTCAACAAAACCTAGTAAAATTCAAGAACTTTTCACTGAATATCAAGTTCAAGGATGATTTTTACACTTAAATGATCCTAATGGAATTTAGTAAAGTTAGGTAATGTGGACCCTTATTGTATCTATGCTTTGCAACACAAAATATAATTATTTTCTCATAACAGAAGTATTTATGGAAGTTCCAAGCATAAAATTTACCATTTTAGGATTCTGTTTTTAAACAGTTATGAAAAATTGATAGAAATTAAAATATCACTTTTTATTATAGAAAAGTATGCATACACATATACACATGTATAGTGATCTATCTTATATGCGTGTAGGTGTATGTGTGTTAAATCACATAACTTAGTTTGCTTTAGAACTTTAAAGAAATTTTAAAAAATATTGCTTTAAAACTATTATTAATAGATTATCTTAGACTTGGATGATAGTTTGAGCTCTTCAAAGCCATTGACCATTAATCCAACTGAAAAAAAAAAAACTTAGTATAGTTAATAGTACTATGTTTTTGTTAATATTAGTTCCTCTTGGTATAAAATAATTCCAGTTACCTTCTCTGAGGAGACTGTTTCTAAGAATTGTGGCTTACCCTCCACATATGGGGATATTTCCCTCACTTTTGATTATTATGCTTGAGCTCCTAGAAACTTAGAATCTTTTCAAATGTATTTAATTTTTGGTAGAGTGGAAAAACCAGGTGGGAGTTTTAAACATTCAATATCACAACTCAGACTTTGAGAATCAGGTGGACACAGATGTATGTTTCACATGAGGAGGTCGTTCAGGTGATCAGCTGGCAGAAGCGCACTTCATTACTTCCCCAAAGTGGCCTATTCTTGGCTTAAATCCTAGTCCTTATGGTCTTGGACCTACATTCTACCATACATGGGCAAAAGAGATCATGATAGACGGTGAGAAGGAAGCATTGTCTTCATGAGGAATAATTCACACAAAAAGCATGAATTTAAATAATAAAAATAACTTTATTATAAAATATGTCAAACATTTGCTGTTTGAAAGTCAGTCGGGGTCGCCTGTCAGTTGTCTGTTTTAAGTGTATACATTATTCATGGGGCCCATTTATTTTTAGATCAGTGTAAGAAATCAGTACATAAAATTTATTAAGACACATGGGCATCTCAAATACAATGAGATGTTTTGTTTTCAGCTGCCAACTGCCAACTCCTGTTTATCAAAAGCACATTGTATCATTGAAGTCCCTGCACTCAATTCTAAGTATATTGTAAAAGAGTATAGGGTTAATTCCTCGACAAATACACTTTGGTTTCAATGTGAGTCTTGGGAACTTATACATTTGTAATTATTCAGGTTGTTGGAGGAAAAATGACTGACTTAGGACGCCTTGGTGCTTTCATCACCAAAGTAAAGAAGGGTAGCCTAGCAGATGTAGTTGGACACCTAAGAGCAGGTAAAGTTTCTTTTTTAACATTTAATCCATGTGTTATTTGTGCATTAGTTGATGGTTTTCAACTTGAGGTTAAATGTGTGTGTGTGTGTGTGTGTGTGTGTGTAAATATTTATATATATATATATAAGTAAACTAAGTCAGTAACTAGCTTGATGCATGGATACAGCTTTTTTTTCCTGGTATGAATATTGCAATAATAGGTAGCTGCCTATCAGTAGCTATTGGAGAGAGTAAGAATATTAATCTTTCTATTCATTTAAAAAGAAATAGGTGCAAAATACTGAAGGATTTCTCATTCGTGTAGATGGATCATAAGAGTGCTCTACAACTTCAAATCTAAAATAGTTTATCTGTGTGAGAAAAATGTTTCAATGCATCATTTCAATCTATAGTTATAATTTAAGCTATGATAATTACTAAAGTTAAAGTTGTCACAAAGCACTTTTCTAGAAGTTGTGTTTTTAGAAAACAATCATAATCACATTTCTCATATAGATTATATATATTTGTTGCTTTAAATGTGATAAAAATTTTACTTAAGCAGATGTGTTATTTCTTGGTATTTGAAAATTTATTTGTTGTTCTATAACCTGCACATGACGTAGAAAAATCATTTAAGTATTCAAATGTACTATATATTAAGTAACAATCCATTTTAAACTCTAAGTCTAATGTGAAATAAATTTTACTACAAAATCCTGAATCTTGCATATCAGATTATAAGTATAACGGCTTTTGATTTTGTATTTCTGTTTTGATTGATTGCTCAAGTCAGTAAGGGGTTATTTTTAATAAAATAATCTTAATTAATAATTTTGTTTATTCAGCAACCTCATAAACTGAAAGTCTGAGAAACTTAATGTTAAAATATTAAGAAGTTCAACCTAAACAATGATAGCTAAAATGTAAAAAGTGCATTTCGCATTTTAAGCAATTGATATATTTAAGGACAGTAAAGTTTTATATGCTGTCAAGCATTCTATTTCTTTACATTATAATTTAGAAACTTTTATTTTTTTCTATTTCATATAAACATCATTGACCTATAAAACTCTCATGCTATTTTTTAAGGCAGTATGACTTTTATTCATCATTTAAGATCTGCTTTTGTAGTGCCAAAGCTTTTTGCAGTCTTGCTCCTCTTTAAGGCCATGCTTTGCACTGCTACTTGACTTAACCACCTAAGACAAAATTAACACTGATACATTCCCTACCACTAAGACCCATGTCTTCTGGTCATCAGCCTTCTAATACATCTGATTCTCTAGCAATAGCAGTCTACCTGTAGATCCTCCACAAGCTTTTCCTACCTTCAAGACAGAGTAAACCACCTACTTGGTTACCTTTTTGTTATGCCTGTTGAAGTCCCTTCCATTCTTCAAAACTCATTGAAGGTACCTTAACTCTAAAGTGGTTTCAGAGAGCTCCCCTAGAACAGTAGCAAATTTCTACCTGCCTAGTACCACCTGCCTCTACTTCTGTTCCTCAGAGGAACCTGTATCATTGTACATAGCATTTTATTAAAGCTTTTTTCTAGATTATTTCTCCACCACTAAATTTAAGGACAGAGGAAAATCATTTTCATCTTTGTGCCCTCATTGTCTGTATCTCTGTTGGGAGAGATTACCTATCTATCTATGTATCCATCTATTCATAAATAAATACTATTAAAGAGAGCACCTTCTGCTTTACTAGTTATTGATCTCTAAATAAATAAATGCATATATTCAGTTAATTTGATACTAAGCCCTATGTTTCCAGGTTACTGTCTGTAAAGAGAATTTTGTTATGAAGTGCTTTTGCAAAGTGCTGATTGCAACTCATTACTGGGTAGTGAAATCAATTTTATTGTTTATATTCATTATTTAGAATTATTTATATCCATTATTAGAAATTATATAGAACTTAATAGAATAGAAAATACCAGGGTAAGTATTGTTTCGTAAGATATTTCATAGGATACACACATACATACATCTGCTGTATGTATGATATAAACTTAACTTTTCTTGGTTCACAACAATTGAAAGCATTCCTAATACATTTTTATTGTAATTATTTTATGTACTTGTTTTTATGGTGAAGTATATTCATTGCCTGTTTGAAAAACTTTTGTAGGTAATAGCTTGGGGCAAACCGTTGCAAGTACTGGTGATAATGATCCTGTTTCAGGAAGCCACAGTATCATGTGCTTTTCACATATGTAGTTTTACCTTTGGTTAAGCACCACTTGCAGGAAAAGAAAGAATTACTTTGAAATAGTTCTAGTTAAAAAAATGTTTTCTACTTTTCTATAAAAAGACCTAGTCAAAAATCAAAAAAATTCACGTTTATGCCTAGCTTTAAAATGTCTAATGATATTTACCAGTTAGTTCAGTAAATTTCTGTTTAGCTTCTAAAATGTCCTAGATACTGAGAATGGCAATATATGCATGAACATCATAAAATTAAGACACTTCAGTACGTCTTTCAGGTTGAGAGATTTCAGCTCAACCTAGTAGATATTGTGTATTGAAAGGTCCTGGACACAGAACTTCTTGGAACCTAAAACAGTTTTAACTATTTATGAAAAAAATATTTTCAACTATTTATTAAAATAAATGATTTTTCTCAAATGATTGATTGTGAAAATTCTAGTAAAAATAACAACTGTAGGTTGTTACCATATTAATTTCTTATTATCTTGAAATATTTTCTACTTGTACTTTAATCTTGATAGCATATATTATGTATAAAATGTATGTGTTTTGAACATCTGGAAGTGGGTTAACTGTCATGCAACAGTTTTACATCTGCTTGCTTTGTAACTTTCCATAGCTACCTGTGTTACCCTATGGGTGTGAATTCAAATCCTTTCATGCATTTTTCTGTTGTGCATCTGGTGAAGAAAATGAAGCATTATGTATAATGGAAAAAATTTGTGCTGACCATGTTAATTGCTGTTTTTATCAAAAATACGACAGGATTTACTCACAGTTTAATAAAAATTTTTCACATATAGAGCCGCCTACATTTATTATATGGAGGGCATGCTGCTAATTATTATTTTTTTAATATTTTCCAATAGGCTGTGCTAATTCCATCCCATAGCATGAGATTATTTTTATATTATTTCTGGTATATCTCAAAAGATGAAGATAGTTTGTATTATACTGTTTCCAGTGACCAGTAATATCCAGGGGGAAGAAAAAAGATTAACAAAGAAAAGAAAAAAGGTGTTTAGAAGAACCATTTAGCTGACATTATATGACAATCAATTTGCTTTTGAGAGCAGAGCCTAGAAAATTAAACTATTTGTATGTTTTGCATTTCTTTGTTAAAAAAAGATAAAACATAAGAAAAATAAACAGAATATATAAGGTAAAAAAATACCCTTTTTTTTAAATTCAAGGGGATGAAGTTCTAGAATGGAATGGTAAACCCCTGCCGGGAGCTACAAATGAAGAAGTTTACAACATTATTTTAGAATCAAAATCAGAACCTCAAGTTGAAATTATTGTTTCAAGGCCTATTGGGTAAGGCTAAAAAAACTTACTTCTTAAGTTTAGTAAATTACATGTATTAGCAGGGTTTTAAAAAGAAGTTTATACATTCATATAGTACATGTTCACATGAACAGTTTTTTCATCAGTTATGGGCGTATAGTTTAGATTTTAAAATATCTTAATTTTTAAAACTGGAATACTGAATTTCCTTCCCTACATTTTAGAAACTCCACATTTGACAACTATAATATAAAAAAGTATTGATTTGTATTTTTTGTAAGTCAGAAAGTAAAATATTTTATTTTAATGGTAGAAATATTTGTTTTTACTAATTCTAATTTAGTGAATAGTCTTTCCTCTAAGGGAGTCACCAGCAAACACATCTTGTAATATTTTAAATATTAAATTCACATGTCTACATGAACTTTATATTATTCGACAAAGGATATAATATTTTTCTATATCTTTATCCATTGTAGTCTGACCTTTAATTTAAAATTCAGAAATCATAGCAAATATTTTCACATTTTAATTGGTTATAATACATGGTATGGTATTTTTAAGGCCAAAATTTTCAGCATAATTTGCTATCTGCAGGCAGTGGAATTTTTTTTTTTTTTTTATGTTTCTGTTGAGGGTTCTCCATACTGTTGACTTTAAGCTTTTTCTGGCAAACTGACATAGTCTGGAATAAATATTTGTTTTGCCTGCCTATAATTTCTGGAAGGCATGTTGAACCATGTTTGAATGCATTCTTAGAAATAATTAGTTTACCCTTCTTCCCCAAGATTTCATAGAGCTATCAATGTAAGTAAGACTTTTTATGTTGAAAAAGTGTTGATTTTTTTGTTCTTGTGAATATATGTCAGTGTAAAACATAGAAGAAAATATAATCATCCTAATTCTCAAACAATTGAAAATGTATAATCATGTACCAAAGGTTTATATTAATATATAAAACTTAAAATAAAGGGAAGCTATAACCCATATTAAATGGTGATTTAAGAGTAAAACTTGGAAGATATTTGCAAAAGTATTGAACATGTAGATTTAAAAAGTAACAACACTATGCTAGTTTTACATGACATATGTCCTAGTGCTGAGGTAAATATGAGACTGGAAAAGAGGTAAGTAAACTGGGAAATGGATCAAAAGTATAAAAAATAAAATTTAAAATAAAGCATTGTGCACATTCCCAAATACTTTCAGAAATATAGCTGTTTAAAAGTAATCTACTTTAATATTATTCATTCATGATAATTAAAGTAGACTGGGATAATATTATTTTACTTCTGCATAAAAATTACTTAAAATTAGTCATCAGCATAGCCAAATTCTAAACTATCATGGATTATTGAATTTAAAACAATATGAAATACAAAGATTATTATTGGAATAAAAATTATAGCTGACATCAGCGTTCGAGTTAATGTATAATTGGAAGAATAATTCTAGCTATACTTTAATAATTCTATTATTAATATATTATTAATCTAGCTAAATTTTAATAATTGTGTTTAATGTAGTTATGTTCAACACCTATTATTAAACTAGAAAGCCAATATTTACAGTTTAGTAGCATAGTGATTTTAGAATCATTATAAGTATGGGTTACATTGATCAGCATGGTCCAAAATATCAGCCACCTTGAAATATTGATCATTTTTGTGGACTTACCAAATACAGTATCCTTGACCTTTATGCTTATAACTACTATGATAACAGCTTTACCAAGTAACTTGTAAAGAAGTACTGGCAAAGAATATACAGATGTCAAGTGGACATTTATGCCTAAAAATGCTGCTGAAGTGATTAGCATTATTTCATTCAGATTCATTTAAGAATTTTTAACAACTTTCCAACTTTGTCCTTTCAGAGATACATAAAATTCAATTATGTACCTGAGTTTAGACTTCCAAATTGTCATTTTGCATGTCTGACTATGAAATTGACTTTCAAAGACATCTTACTAGCTAAAAAATCGTTTCTGGATTTTTCACAGCTTTTATTTACTAACATAGATGAATTTAAATGAAGAAAGCAAAAGGTAAATAGGACAAATAGTTGGTTTCCTATGTCTTGGGTATTATAAATTAGCTTCTTAATTATAACCCATAAAATTACTTTATAGAAATGGTTGATTATATAAAATATAATAGATTTTACTTATAAAATATACAACATAAAGTATATTATCATTTGTAAAATGTATGAATTGTGGCCGGCACTGCGCGGCTCAATAGGCTAATCCTCCACCTAGTGGCACCGGCACACCAGGTTCTAGTCCTGGTCGGGGTGCCGGATTCTGTCCCGGTTGCCCCTCTTCCAGGCCAGCTCTCTGCTGTGGCCCAGGAGTGCAGTGGAGGATGGCCCAAGTGCTTGGGCCCTACACCTGCATGGGAGACCAGGAGAAGCACCTGGCTCCTGCCTTTGGATCAGCGTGGTGCACCAGCCGCAGCGTGCCAGCCGTGGCGGCCATTGGAGGGTGAACCAATGGCAAATAGGAAGACCTTTCTCTCTGTCTCTCTCTCACTATCCACTCTGCCTGTCAAAAAAAAAAAAAAAAAAAAAAAAAAAGTATGAATTGTAGGTGGATGAAGTTACTTTGCACAAAAAAAGTGGAAGTAAGAAGTCAGGAAAACAGAGAAACCTTTTAGTTTCCATTCCTTGTAAAAGTGAAAAGAAAATCAAAATTATGTTAGATTATAGGCTAAATGATTAGAAATTCTCAAACAGTATGGTGATAGTGTGTTGGTCCTAGATAAATCCAGTCTACTTTAATATGTCATGTTAGGAATTGCATATTTTTAATCTTCTTAGATTGACACTAAAATGTCTTTGGAAAGTGAGAAATAAAGTAGTCCTATACAGCACAATCAATACCCAAACAAAGGTGATCCAGGGCTTCCAAGGTCATAGTGGAAAATGGATTGAGCTGAGGTGATACGGAATACTCTTCAGAATAATTTCTGAGTGTGGCAGGAATGGGTGGTTTTCACTAGTCACTTTCTGACCATACAGTGAATAGCCATATATTTAGCTAACTTCAGTATAGAGACATGAATCTCTATAGAGGGTATATATGTGAATATATATATATATATCCACATATATAAAATACTTTGGCTTTTTTGTTGCAAGCTTGAACCATTTTTAATTTTCAAAGCAATTCATCCTTTTCATTTTATTAACTTTGCCCATGATATCCACCCCATCAATTTATTATCAGGAGATGTTTCCATCCCTTTCATTCAGTAAACTCTTTCAGATGTGTTTGTAAAGCATATTACTGATTTGTAAAATTTGTGTCATTTTGATTTTCTAGAATTGAGTAAAAAATTATCTTTAACATTTTTTATTTCCAAAACCTGCTGTTTTGGTAGTAAAAATATTGTGGTGATTTTAGCCACAATATTAGTCTGATTGTTGTCATATTAAAGTGTTTGCTAATAAATATATAAAAACCTTATTTTTATTGCAGTTTTTTTTGTGTGGTGTTTGACATTCATGCACATTAGTAGTTGCCTAAATAGTAACTCTCCTCCATTTCTACATCTGTAAAGACCCAAAAGGATTTTTCACAACACAAATAAAAAGGGCTGTGATTGCCTCAGGGCAGGTAGTTGGCTAATGGGATTTTCACCAAACTCTGTTTCTTTTAGTGACATTCCCCGGATTCCTGAGAGTTCCCACCCTCCACTGGAGTCTAGTGAGTATAAGATTTCTTTGTTATTGCAACAGGGATAAGTTTAACTCAATTGAAGAATAAAGATTTAGCATTTTCTGTAGTTATTTGCTGAATGAAATGGTGTTACCCTGCTAAGGATGTCTCCACCAACACCCTAAGTTTACAACCATGGCAATCACTGGAAACCCAAAGTGTCTTCTCTGCTCTGAGATTTTCCTTTCTACTCCCCACTGGGGGCTGTACTGGCAATGTCCTTCTGCCTCTTCAGCAGTTAGGACCCCCGGAGAGCTAAATTACTGTAACAGTAACAGCTGTCTGTGCTGTTCATAAAAGTGTACTGTGGTCCTGGAGGATTCATTTGGATTGCTAAGCAGCTCAGTTACCTCAGCAGTCTAGTGAAGGAAATAGGCACATTCACAAATAATTGTAGCACTGCTTACTAGTGTCAGGTATGATAATGGCAGTGAGTAGGTGGAGTAGAGACAAAGTTCACTTACATGGGGTGGGAGCAGGGTACACAAAGGACTGTGAGGCTAGAGGGTTGCAAGAATTATCTGCGGCCGGCGCCGCGGCTCACTAGGCTAATCCTCCACCTTGCGGCCCCGGCACACCGGGTTCTAGTCCCGGTCGGGGCGCCGGATTCTGTCCCGGTTGCCCCTCTTCCAGGCCAGCCCTCTGCTGTGGCCAGGGAGTGCAGTGGAGGATGGCCCAGGTGCTTGGGCCCTGCACCCCATGGGAGACCAGGAAAAGCACCTGGCTCCTGGCTCCTGCCATCGGATCAGCGCGGTGCGCCGGCCGCAGCGCGCCGGCTGCGGCGGCCATTGGAGGGTGAACCAACGGCAAAGGAAGACCTTTCTCTCTCTCTCTCACTATCCACTCTGCCTGTCAAAAAAAAAAAAAAAAAAAAAAAAATTATCTGCACGGTGATTAAAGTTTGTCCAAATGAGAAAAGAGGGTATTGTATACACTAAAAAATAGACAAGTAATGAATTTTCATTCCTAATGTGGAAGTGACCCAAACATTTACTTTGCAGTAGATTAGCATTAAATTACAAGATAATGTGTCTAACTTGTTTCACTTAATAGGATATCCTCCAGTTCCAGCCATTTTCCTGCAAATGAAAGGATTTTGTTCTTTTTTATGGCTGAATAGTATTTCATTGTACCTCATGTTCTTTATGTGCAAGATAAAAAAATAAATAAATAAAACCACCATCTGAACACAGAATGTTGATTACTAGAGGCTGAAAGGAGCAGGAAGAATAAGGGGAGTTTGGATATAAAAAATAGGGAAAGTGGAGTGTGATTCATTAATTGTGGCAAATGTACTTACATGAGATGTTATAATAGTTCCAGAAGTTAACTGTGGCTGATAGATTCTAACATATAGCATACTAATTGTAAGATGCTAAAAATAGGAAAGGCTCTGTGTGGGGTATATTGGAACTCTTTGCCATACTTCACAGTGTTTGTTTTGTACATTTAAAACTATACTGAAATACAGTATTAAAAATTGCAAGATAATATAGGAGAAAACCATTAAGAGTGATTAGAAGGGAGAAGAAAATAAATGAGAAAGATAAAGAATCATAGACTAGGTTATCATATAAAATGCATAACATGTTATTCTTATATGTGCTAGAGATGGGTTCAGAATTTACTGTAAGTTTTCCAGTGACTAATACAAGAAGGAAATGGTACTAGTTACATGTCTTATGGTATTAACATTATTAAAAAATTAACTAATTGCTATCCTATCAGAAACAAACTGAATATTACAAGCAATAATGTTCATATTCTGAGATCCTAGAAAAAAATTACCTTAACGATACCTGATACCCTGCTTTCCACTGGGTTCTCACTAACAGAGATCCTTCATGTAGATCATTTTTTGCCACAATGCCTTGGCTTTCCTGCCTGAAATGGTCTCATGGGCTTTTTATCCAGATCCGAATGCCTTGAGGGCTGATTCTGAGGTCAGAGTACTGTTTAGGACATTTGTCATTCTGTGAGTCTGCTGTGTGGCCTGCTTCCATGAAGGAGGCACTTTTCTTGGAAGGGAGGAGAGAACTTCCACTTTGGTTATGGTCCTTTGTAAATACTGACAGAATTTGTGGACTCAAAAGGCTTCCATAGCCTTGGTAGCTCATGACAAGAGCCTTGGGTGATCACTGACATAATAAATAAGAATGTCAACTGTTAAATTAACAAAAAGAGTCACTGTGCACTTGCTCCTATTATAGGACCTCTGTCCTTAATGAGTTGTGAATATGAAAATTAACAGTAAAAATTGTCTTCAAACAGTACTTTATAATTTATGTGTCTGTGTGGGTGTAAACTGTTGAAATCTTAGTATAGAGTTGGTTTTCTGTATATAAAGATAATTAAAAATTAGTCTTAATGAAGAATGGGATGGGATGGGAGACGGAATAGGAGGTGGGATAGGAGTGGGTGGTTGGGAGGGCAGGTATAGGGGGAAGAACCGCTATATTCCTAAAACTGTACTTATGAAATTTGTATTTATTAAATAAAAGCTTTATTAAAAAAAAGATACCTGATAATGAAAACATAGTATCAAATAATTTTAGAGCCCAATTTCTTACCTTGGAAAGTTTTTCTGGAGGGTACAAAATGATGGCATGTGACAAAATGAGACTTAATTTGTTGATATAAGAAAAGCATATGGATGGCACACTCACAGACAATGTTCCATAAAAGGTATTTCTCAGTGAACTCTTTTCTAAGCTGAATGTCTGTGAGTTAAAGGTTATCCTTATTAGAGTGATCACCTTCTATAGATGTGCCACACTGCTGTATGTCAGGGTGCAGATCAGTCTCGCAGTATAGCTGTGAGAAGAACTTTTACATAGAGGCAAGTCACTCTTGAATTCCTATAAGCAGCATTCTCAAAGGTTTAAGAGACTCATTTGTAAGATCAAAACTATAAAAGATGATAAATCGGATTTTAAAGCAATGATGAATTCTAGGCTTAGAGGCTGCTCATAAATTATATTCTATATGGCATTTACATTAATAATAAGAACAGCTCAAAAGTGATCTATTAGTCAAATGATCAATATAGCAAGCTCCATCTTCCTTATCACTAAAGCCTGAGATGTGTGACTACACAAGAACATGTGCATTTAAAATCCCCTCCAAAAATGTGGATCAAGACAGTCAAATTGAAACACATTTAAACATTTTGCTATGTCATTTTGAATTAATTAATAGTCAGTTAACCAAAGGAAGCAAAGTAATAATTTTTTTTTGCAATCCCCTCAAAAAGTAGATTCTTTTTTTTTTAAGGGAACAGGTTTATTGGGGAAAACCCAGCAGGCTGGAGGTAAGGGGTGAAGAAGGAAAAATAGAGAAGGAGAGTGTAAGAGAGAGAGAAACAGAGAGAGAAAGAGGAGAGGAGCTAGCGAGGAGAAGAGGGGAGGCTAGGGAGAGAGACCCTGGAGAGAGCAGAGAGCACAGAGAGAAGAAAAAAAGTAGATTCTAGAATCAATGTTATTAATTATTGTTCTCGGGGCCGGCGCCATGGCTCACTTGGTTAATCCTCTGCCTGAGGCACCAGCATCGCATATGGGCGCTGGGTTCTAGTCCTGGCTGCCCCTCTTCAGTCCAGCTCTCTGCTGTGGTCCAGGAGGGCAGTGGAGGATGGCCCAAGTGCTTGGGCCCCTGTACCCACTTGGGAGACCAGGAAGAAGCACCTGGCACCTGGCTTTGGATCGGCGCGGCGCCAGCCATAACAGCCATTTGGGGAGTGAACCAACGGAAGGAAGACCTTTCTCTGTCTCTCTCTCTCTCACTGTCTATAACTCTACCTGTCAAATAAAAAAAAATACTGTTCTCTACAACGAATAGATGATTTTGACATTTCATAAAAACAGTTTATTCCCAACACTTAGAATTATTACTTATTTTTTTTCTCATTTTAGGTTCCAGTTCCTTTGAATCTCAGAAGATGGAAAGGCCTTCCATTTCTGTTATTTCCCCAACAAGTCCTGGAGCTCTAAAAGATGCCCCCCAGGTGTTACCAGGACAACTTTCTGTATGTATTTTTTATTTATTTTAACATACTCACCCCACTGTGCTGTGCAGCACTAGGACCCATTAATCCTATCTAACGACTGTTTGGTACCTGCTACCCGGTTTCCCTCTATCTCCCCTCCCTCCACTCTTTCCAGTTTCCAGGAATTACTGCCCTAAGTTTAAGTTGACATTTTGAAACTTCTGCATATGAGAGAGAACCTGTGCTATTTATCCTTCTGTGTCTAGATCATTCCATCTCATATGATGTCTGACTTCCAGTTCCATCCATTTTGCTCTAGATGTCAGGATTTCATCCTTTTTAATGGTCTATATACCTCAAGTTGTCCTCAATAAACTGAAAATGGGTCTGCCATATGACCTAGCTTTCACACTTTTGGGTACCTATCTGAAGGAAATAAAATCAACATCTCTTCCAACAGTCTGAAGATACAATTTATGTGTTCAGCCCTTTTTTCTTTTCTCTCTATCTCATGAAAATTAGTCTGTAATAGCTTAATTATAAAAGCAGATCAAGAATAATACCAGTGAACACTCAGTGGTATCTGGGTTTGAAGTAGGGCCATGGTGTTTCCTCTTCTCCAACCCACTGTGTATCTATCTCAGTCCTTATGTTAGAACTCTTCTTGTATCTCAACTACCTATGGCATTAGAAAATGCATGTAGCCACCCTGTAGTCCTCAAGGCACTTATGGTCACCAAACAATTGCATGTAACATTTAAAAATGAATAATAATTTAAACATCTCCCAATTCCCTTCTTTTTTTTTAAATCATCATTAATTTTATCTTTAAAAGTAAGATATTGTACTGTTGGCTTACCAGGTATGTTACATTTAAAATGCTTAAAAAAAATTAAGTGACTTTTCTTTCAAATTGGTATTCCTTTCAGAAATCATACCTGTAATTCCATTTCATTGCAATCTGAAATTTTTCATATATGATTTTTTTTCAAATATAATTTAAATATCATTTATGTAAAATTTTAAGGCCTCGGGATTTTTACAACAATCATTTCTTTGTGCGTCACTTTCAGGTGAAGCTGTGGTATGATAAAGTGGGACACCAGCTGATCGTAAACGTCCTGCAAGCCACAGATCTGCCACCTAGAGTTGATGGGCGTCCCCGGAACCCCTATGTAAAAATGTATTTTCTCCCAGATAGAAGGTAGTGAACAGTTTTAGAAAACGTATGTGGAAATCTATACTTATAGAAGAATTGTTGTTTCTGGGATATATTTTCTAAATATAAGTGATAACTAAATTAATTCTAAAAATTTCTTCAAGTCTTGTGTTTATTTGAAAATAATCTGTCAACTTTAAAAAAAATGTCATTACCTTGCTCGTACATTTATTTGTCTTTGATATGGGCACATCATTTAGAATATAACTTCCTATGTAAGTGCCAGTAACCATAAATGCTCTTTACATTGTAAATGAAATCAGAATGGTAACAAACTCTGAAGCCTTTTCGTACTTTTAAAAGTGATAAATTAAAATAGTAAAGTAACAGAAGTACTATTAACATTTGACTGCAGTAGATGGCAGTATATACTTGTCTTTGCTTTGTCATTTACAAAACATACTTATTTTTTCAGTGATAAAAGTAAAAGGAGGACCAAAACAGTAAAGAAAGTACTAGAGCCGAAATGGAATCAGACTTTTGTGTATTCACATGTGCATCGTAGAGATTTTAGAGAACGAATGTTAGAAATAACCGTGTGGGATCAACCCAGAGTGCAAGAAGAAGAAAGTGAATTTCTTGGAGAGGTGATGTATATTGCAAAGATTCAAGTCAAATGCTTGGTGAAGTTGTTGAAATATGCGTTAATCATGACTGTTTCTACATTATGTTTTGATAGCAGTGCTTGATTTAATTTGAAAACTGTTCTTTCAGATCCTTATAGAGTTGGAGACAGCACTTTTAGATGATGAACCACACTGGTACAAACTTCAGACACACGATGAGTCTTCACTACCTCTGCCTCAGCCATCACCTTTCATGCCAAGGCGACACATTCATGGAGAAAGCTCTAGCAAAAAGCTACAAAGTAGGTTAAGGTCTTTTTGAGTTACCAGAAAGTAATTCTGTTATAATGACATGATTAGATATTAACATTCAAGATATTTTTTTCTTTTGTTTCACTAGAGATATGAATACTTGAAAGTTGTTCATCTGTAGGAAAGAACTCAGTAGAACTAATTTCTACATTTAGCAATGAAATTATATATATTTAGCAATGTAATTATATATATACACACATTTGTACATATGTGTGTAATTTGGGAGCTGGCAACTCAAAAACTACTCTGAATTCTAATTATTACACAAGATTTACTAAATTGTTGATTAGCTGACTGAGAATAATTTGTCATTGCTGATGGATTGCTACCTGTAAACTTTTAATGACTTCATAGTTCATGATTGTTTTTACTATTAATCACAAGAAATATATTTTTAAAACACTGGAAAGTATGTTTATTGTTATTTATATGGTAATTGGGGAATTTTTTTCTGTACGTACAATACTTTTTGAGTGATGACTAAATTTCTAATTTAAAAATTCAATTTGCGAGCTTCATTCTGGTAATCTGGAACTAAATAGTTTTTCTTGTAAAATTGAATATTTTACATTAGTGCTTCTCTAGTCAAGCCTTTTCTCAAAATTAATGTTTAATGCAGTAAAGTGGATAATTTTAGGGGCTAATATGAATATTTTATAAAGGGCCTTGATGCTCTTTCAATCATATGCGCTCAATAGAGCTCCAGCCAACAAAGGCCTCCTGAAACCTTTCCACTCAGCCTCATCCTCCATGAACTACACTTGCCATAGACTTTCAGCATGGTATTTTAACTAAAGAATAAAAAGCCAAACCCATGTCCTCTAGTCAGTTTGCATCTATGTATCTTCATTGTAATGTTATATAAGGAGAGAATTCTGGGAAAATGTTATTGAAGAATGACCATCTCTTTAAAACTCAGCTCGGTGTTGACTTTGTATTTTTCCTGTTCGAAAACGTTGAGTAGTAATATAGCTAGCCTTTTTAAAGTCTTTACCTTGTCCTTTACATTTCATAAACCAACCAGACCCAAAAGTATCTGTTTGCCTTACTGTTGTACAGGATCTCAGAGAATCAGTGATAGTGACATCTCAGATTATGAGGTTGATGATGGTATTGGAGTGGTGCCTCCAGGTGCGTGGGTGAAGAGCATGGCTCTGCTTCCCTGTGCTGCTTTGCTTGCTGTCACTGCCAACTTCAGATTGCTCCAGAATACTGAACTGGAGACCTAGAGCACACAGAATCTAGTATTACATTATTCCATGGTGACTTGCATTTCAGATTGTTAAGAAAGTTTACAAATGGACTGGTACCTATCAATCAGCATCCCCACTCATTTAATTTCGTCCAAATCTTCCTTGAAAGTCTGTTATCTAGGTGAAATAAATCATTTCACAGTGCTCTGAGCATAAGTGAAAATATGAATTTCATTTTTAAAGCATATGGTTAATTTCATTACATGAATATTCATTTTTCTGTGTTTTTTACTTCCTCCATTTCAGAAAATATATAGACTTCCATGGAATACACTGACAACGATGCATGGCAGGGTTTAAAATTGCATGTGGCATGGCTCTAAGTTTTTATGCTTTTGTGATGTGTTCAGCACTGACTCTCCCTAAAATATGTCTGTACGTTTTTTATTTTAAAAAAAGAAAATGCTTTAGAAAGATTCAAACTTCATTTGAAGTCGACATCTTTTTGTCATTGAATAAATTAATTAAAAATTTTGTGATACTGTGCAAATCTATGTTTGTCATCTGAGTTTTGTCAGGAAAGTACTTAAAAATCTCTGAAGTTTTATGTTCTGGGCACTAATTCTATAGTAATATTTTATTTACTAAAAATAGAGAACTAAATATTCAAAAAGAACTTATTTTTAAATATGGAAAATTAAATATGAATTACTGAAGGCAGTTCTTTTGGACAGTCTTGACATATGTTCCCTTAATTTTTACCGAACTTCTAAGATAGGGTGCACTTATTTTGTGGGCAGTTATTCCACATTCATGAGTAAGTTCACAATCTGGGAGATGGGCAGTTATTCCACATTCATGAGTAAGTTCACAATCTGGGAGATGCCAACAACTTCACTAAAACTAGGAGACAGTTATGGAGAATTCTCTAAAATCAGATTTCATTTGCTTCCCGTGAATTTTGTATTTCTGTTCAAGGTAACATATAGTATTAAAACAATCCAGAGGCCGGCGCCGTGGCTCACTAGGCTAATCCTCCATTTTGCGGTGCCGGTACACCAGGTTCTAGTCCCGGTTGGGGTGCCGGATTCTGTCCCGGTTGCCCCTCTTCCAGGCTGGCTCTCTGCTGTGGCCAGGGAGTGCAGTGGAGGATGGCCCAAGTCCTTGGACCCTGCACCCCATGGGAGACCAGGAGAAGCACCTGGCTCCTGCCATCAGCTCAGCGCGGCGTGCCGGCCGCGGCGGCCATTAGAGAGCGAACCAACGGCAAAGGAAGACCTTTCTCTCTGTCTCTCTCACTATCCACTCTGCCTGTCAAAAAAAAAAAAAAAACCAGAGCTGCACAACTAAATTTTTCACTATTACTCATTGATATCAGAGTATCAGTGAGAACTGTGAATAGTAGTGGATAACATTTCATATTTCCCTTCTGTTTTTGTTTCTGTTTCTGAAAAAACTGTAATAAGCATATACATTCTATACAGAAACTTTCACATGATATTTGTTAGTATATTAGTTTTTATGAAATTGAAAGGGTCCAAAAGATCCATTTAAAATCATTGACTTATTTAAATATGATGAGATTATTCCCAGTAATGTTTTCCCTACCAACTTATCTAAGTAGAATTTGCTTCTATGAATAATTCTCACTTTTTCTCACCTGAAGCTTTTCATTATTTGTAATAAGAAAGGACAGTGAATGAATTAATGAGTAATGGACCAATTAAATACTTCCTAAAATGATGAATCCTTTCTCATTTCTCTGAAAGGTCACAAAATAATAGTACTGAGGGTTAAAAATGAGTTATGGGATCCAATAGACATGAGGTTGGTCTTGGGCACCTCCAAAGAATACTGAGTTCTAACTATATTTATTTTCCATAGTGATGTATATGGTATTTCTCATAGTGTTAGCAAACATATGTAATGTTTTTATTATATAGAAGCAGTGTCGAAGTTGTTCTTCCAAGTAACACTTTGCATTTTTACTTAGCATATAAAAAGTTAATGAGACCAACTTGTAATAAAACTAATAATCAGTGTGATACTTTATGAGTCAGAAGTCTCTTCATAAACTAATAAATGAAGCATGCCGTTTTTTTTATTTTCACATATACTCTTCAGTGATCCAATGCTGGATGCAGCATGGCTTCTAAAGATACCTATGAGTATGTCTGGAAAAAAGAGCAAGTTATATATTAATATACAATACATTTTAAGTAAAAAGGAAAGATGAGACATTGATAAAATAGTCAAGAAGTAGAATGAAGGTTTAAATCAATAAACGGCCTTGATGCATTTACATACACTTTCAGAGACTTATCATGTTTCTACATTTTGTAGCACCTGACATGAAAGAGCATTTGTTTAGATGTGGGTGCCATTCCTGTGTATGGTTATTGTGCTCAGTGAAATTTCTGTATATATATATATACCCTGAAAAAGCTCAAAATATTAGTTCAAAATGTTCTACTACAGCCAAATCTAACTTTCCAATAATTTAGCTTGCCTAGAATCACCTAATTCTATGCTTTTGTTCTATACATTTGGCACTTTTTCCACACTTACAGAAATGTAGGAAAATAGTTGAGACTGCTAGAGCTACATTTTGTTAACTTTTTAGTTACACCCTTATTGCTATTCATAATAAAAAAAAGTTTAACTGCTTAGGAAAATGAAAAACTTACACAGAATCCCCTCATTTGAGGTGAAGCATTTGGCAGCCTTGACTTTCCAGAGCATCAGTCAATGCAAATGTAGGAAATTGGAGAAGAAATTTTTGCTTTCTATCTCTGAGCCAACTAAAACATCTGAGTTGAGCATAGAATAGCAATTCCCTCCCATTCATAGTTCTAAGTGTAGACTACATATTACCAATAATAAACCACATATTAGCCAGATTACTGTTAAAAGCAAATTACAACTGCCTTTTTATCTGAAATCATTAATTACAGAGTCCAGTGTTAAAACTTTGAATATTATAATGCATACATTATATATGAATACATTATACTGATAATGACTTTTAGTCACCAAATAGGATTTATTGTATTCAGTATATTCTCTGTAAATTCAAAATGTTATAGTGAACTCTAAGACAGATTACATTAAAAGTTGCTAATATATAGGGTAGCACTTGTTTCCTGAAGTCACTTGACAAAAGGATGAAAGAGATACTAATTTCTGTATAAAGGACCCAAGAGAAATGTACTTCATAATAATCAATTAAACAAAAATTTGTTTATATATATATATCAAATATCCTTCAAATGATTTAAACTAATAATGCTCCCAATTCAAAATTGTCCCTACATAATTACTGTATTATTGATAGCGAACGAAGTTGAAATGTTTAACTAATTCAAACTTTGGATTACATATAAACAACCACCTTTTAAATAATGAGTATGAGGTACATTTCCTTATGTGTTAATTTGCTTGATACCTTTACAGTCTTAATTTTACAGTACATACATTTGAACAACAAAAAGGCTTTTCTCTACACAAAATCCAAAATACTAGCTTGATTGCTTTTTGATATTAAAAATTAAAATGTATTAAGTTATAAATTATACCATATTGATTGTCATATTTAGTCATTATATGTTTTTATAGAATGAAAATTATTGAGCTTCTTTGTGGTTTAAATATTGTCAGATTATAGTTTCTGAAATGCTTAAAGACCTTCTTTAAACTTTAAAATTAGTGTTAAGTTCAGGCAATCCCAACAAATAAACAATTGGGAGACATTAGTCTGCTTTAATATGGTAATTTGTGGCATATTTTTCAAATAATATGGGAATTATCATATAATAAATGAGCAAAAATATAAACATTCATGGTATATGTACATTTTATGTAGTTGCAAATAAAATTATTTTTTTCTTTGGCCACACAAAATTCTTATTTTCCCTGCAATAACAGAAAAAAAATGACTTTTGTGAAAAAATTTTAAACTTTATACTGTTGTAAATTTGAAATTTTTGTTTTATCATAGCCAAATTAGGGAAGATATGAACTTTTTTACTTGAGTTGAAAAGTAGCTGCTAGAAGTTATTTTTATTTGCAATTACATTAAAAACTATAACTTATACTACTGACTAACATGGTAATGAAATAGATGCAGATGTCCAAGATTTAATTTTGTAGGAAGACTAATTTTTTTCTCCATTGTTGCCACAATCATCCCCAAACATACATTATTTATATTTTAAAATTGCATTATTATCTGCGATTTGTAAAATTCACCATCAGTAATAGTGAATATCTGCTACTCTTTGTTTTAAATAAAATTGTTTTGGAGTTATTTTCATTTTCTTAATAAATTATGGCATATTTTTATTTCTTTTTAATGAGGCCATTGGCAATACAACTATAATAATTTATTCTTTAAAAGAAAAGCTCAAATAAATAATTCATTTAAAGAAAGTTCAAATTTCTAAACATTGACTTATGTATTAACTGCAGTTCACTGTCAAGTGCTTTATTGTGTTACTGAGAAGTCACTAACTCATTCTTTCTTTATAGTATCTATCATAATGTCTGAAACATCGATTGTCATGTTCATATGTAGTATCTCCATGGTGCCATAGACCTAGACTGTAACCTGTTCTGCATGTATGTTACACCTTGTGTACATTACTTAAAACTTTTGAACGTAAGGCTTCTGATCAAATACTGATTGCATGGCATTTAGCTTTAGTAGGTCTATGGCTGCTGTAATATAACGTGATCTCCACATTAATATTTGCAGTATGCAAGAATACTGACTGACTGTTTTGTGTGTACTCTTGCCAGTGAGTTATAGGTCTAGTGCTAGAGAAAGTAAATCAACAACATTAACTGTGCCAGAGCAGCAAAGAACAACTCATCACCGCTCACGTTCAGTGTCTCCTCATCGCGGCGATGATCAGGGAAGGCCGCGTTCACGTTTACCAAATGTGCCATTACAGAGGTAGGCTTTGAAATGGGCTCAGTGTCCCTGATAATGCTGTCTCTTGTTATATAATAAATTTCCATGGGATTCTAACCAAATGAAATGAAGGTTTGGTCAGTTAAGTTTTTGTTTTTTTTTTTTTTTAATTCTTCAAGTAATGATCTATTCCTTAATCTCAAAAAATTCCCCAGGGAGTGGAAGCATAATTTTTGCATTGCTGTCTTGTCTTCTATTCTTGTCTTCTATTTGCTAGTTTTCTTTCACATTAGGAAAAGTTGTAATAAATCTCATCTGGGCAAAGAAGTGGCAAAGAGAATAAGGTTAGGAGGCAGAATGTATTTTTAAGGTAGCTAGGATTGTCTCTTTGAACACTTTAGGTACTTGGAAAAGTAAATAAAATGTGTAATGCAGTGCTGTACTTCCTCTTACTCCGAAATATATTGCTGAAATCACCAAATATGCTGATGCAAATTGTGGTCCTTTTTGATAGAATTTTGAAGAGTTTGGAGAAAAGCAGAATGGGCAAAACCCTCAGAGAATAAACACTCTTAATTCATCGACAAAATAGGTTTTAGTTTGATGCCAGCACTTCTCAAGCTGTGTTCTTTGTTTGCAAATAATTATCAGTTCCTTCCTGTTAGTCTGCCTACCTGCTTTAGGAAGAGAATATATTTTGACACATTATTTTTTTGCGATCTCTTCAGGAGCTTAGATGAAATTCATCCAACAAGAAGGTCACGTTCTCCAACCAGACACCATGATGCCTCCCGAAGTCCAGTTGACCATAGATCCAGAGATGTGGATAGTCAGTATTTGTCAGAACAAGACAGGTACTTGTCCAAATTATGATCTCAACATTATTACTTTCTTTGTTCTATTTTAATATATACAAACTTTGTGGCATAGTACATTAAAGAAAGTATTTTGTCACTCAAAATTGAATTTTTCTCAAGAAACAAGGTGTTGGAATAGAAATGAAAGTCTAGCAAATATTTGGCTAGCATTCTATAGTTATATGCATTTTTTACAAAACCGAAACTTAGGTTATTCTGCTTTAAATATACACCTTGTTGTTGACTTAGATACTGACCTAAATTACAGAAGGGAGTCTAAATGTTTTCTCTTTTGTAGGTCATAGTCTTTATAATTACTTAGGTAATTATAAAATTATTTATGTAATTGAGAGTATTTTAGATCATCTGAAAGATGGTTTTGATTGCAGAGTTTCTTCGAGAACTTCAGTAATAATGTTTTTGTTATATATGCTTTTTTTTTAATAAAATGCCTTTCCATAAAATGTTTATAAAGTACAAAATACTGAGGTGGATTCTTTCTTAAATGAATATGTAATGATATGTAATTAAGTCTAGTTCTGCACTTGTTTATGAGCAAGTATTTAATGGAAACAGTTATTATGAATCTATGTTAAGAATACTTTGTATGTGCCTACCGACTGTCTTCTTAAAGTAACCACACACCTGTGCAATTAGCCTAACAACAAGCTTCAGATTTGATTTAAGGTGTTGTAATATTCACCTTGTTGCATATTTTTTTTCTGGCTTTTTGAAGTGGGGAAGATTCCTTGAGGGATAGGGAAAGGACAAGGGTGCTGAATGCTTTTTCACTGTGGAGTCAAGGACACAGTACCCAAGTTGTGCTTCTTACTTTATAATTGTTTCCCTACTTTGAGAAGTTGTGTGATGACCTTCAAGAGTGGACTTATCGTGGGTGCTGGGACAGGAAAATGCTCTGAGGAATAGGATTACAGATCACCTGGCTTAAGTTAAGTTAGGGCTACTTTGTCAACATTCATCTGGGCCAATGTGAATTTTGTTGAGGAGGAAAATCAAAGGGCAACTTTACCAGGGCAATCCATATATTGAAATTAATTTGGATTGGATATTGAAAAACATACCTTTTTAAAGGTTAAAAAATCCCAAATACATTTTCAGTTGGTTAAGCACGAATACAATATGAAACTGCATTTTCAGTGGCTATGGAAGCTCAGCAAACTGTCACTCTAGGCTGCCAAAAATAAATACAATCTTTTCGGACCCCCAAGGATATCAGAAAGGCTGAATTTATAATATTTTTATGACTCAAATGTCTATAGTTGAAATAGATTTTGATATCTTATTTAGGGAAGGTTTATTTTTGTTTTATTTTAATATTCTGTAAAATAGTTTTGAAATACAGCAAGTCGGCAATAGCTAGGACCTCTACCATAATGTTTGTACTTTATTGTTTAGACTTTTAAAATGCTGTCATGTTTACTTTTGTTTAACCTCTCAAGCCAAAATGCTAGTGCAGACAATCTGGTTTCTTCCCTTTTCATGTTTTCATTGGCATACCATTGGCATAATCCACCTCATTTAATGCTTTCATAATTTATCTGTTTCACTCAACACCCATCATCCTGTCTGTGCAGTGAGCTTCTTATGCTGCCCAGAGCAAAACGAGGACGAAGTGCAGAATGCCTACATACTACCAGGTAAATACAGGGATTTGGTAATGGTGACTGTGTGTGGTGACTCTCTCCATTCTACTATTCTTCCGTCTCCCTCTTAGTGGTATTATTACGAATAGGGAAAATGGATTTGCCAAGTATTTAAAATTTGCTTTGTTTAATATGGAGGTTATGGAAAAGGTTCCAAGTATGTTTCAATTCTGATCCAGCAAGATTACTTTACTATCTACATATTCAAAATCCAGCAACCAATGAGCTTGGTGGAACCATGTTCATATTCCTAAAACTGAGGCAGCAGTTTCTGCAATTGAAATTCTAAATGCTCAGTTGGAGCATCCCTGCCCCTCACACACAAACCTGTCTAGTCACAGGAGGTCTGATCTTTATGTGCATGGCAGTGTTCTTGTTTTCATTACTGTAATTTTGCTTTCTTTAGACATTTTGTTTCTTTTTGAAACCTGTTATTTGTGTTATGTTCATATAATAAAGTCTTTACCAGTTTATTTTTAATGGATTATTTTCTACTTTCTGCCTGATAGTGAAGATGATTGACCTTGTCAACTTCTTGACTCCTTCACCCCCTCAAACTCAAAAATGCTGCAATGCAAACTTTCCCATAAAGGCTTGTAGCAATACAGCAAAGGATATAATACTCATCTCTAAATTGGAACTCACAGCCCAAAAGCTTTGTGTTAGTCTCATTATGTTTCAAATTTCATATCCAAAGTTAAAATTTCCTACAGGATATCTCATAGAATGAGTCTGTAAATTTATTTATTGTTAATCTGAAGTTAATAGGGAGCAAGGAAAGAATAAGTCAGTGAAACAAATCAGCACACCAAAAAACTCTTCCAAATATTTTAGCCAATAAAAAGTAAAAGGAAGGAGAATGAAAGAAGTATGACCTCAAGGCATGGGAGACAAAGACAAATGCCAGGTTCATCGTTTCTATGTGGAGCACGTGGTTCTGCTCATTAATGCAAACATGATTGTGCTAATAAGAATTGTTTCCATTTGTACATGCCCGAAATTATTTTATTGGTAGCAGTTCCTCTGTTTGCTTGTAGTGTAATGAGGAATTATTAGTTCTACTTGTCAACTGAGGAAATGATATAAAATCATAAATTTTATAAAAATCAACTCAGATTCTTTATAATGCTAAATTGCCCAGGCATATTAGTTGTTTTTCCAGACAAATAGCTTCTAGAAATGGTTTATTTACTAATTGTTGACATTTTCTTGTAGTCCTGTTAATGTGACTAGTACAACCATTTAAAAACAAAGGTGCATGTGTAAGAAATATATATATTTATTAAGGTACCTGGGGTGTACTTGGTACTAAGTGGACAGTTTTTTGTAGGATGTTCTGTATGCAGTCTTATTTTTAAAATTGATGCCTTGCTATCAATTCTGAATTCCATATAACCTATCTGTTTAAATTAGAATGTTGACTTTGACTGTCCTGATATAGGCAAATAATCGTAGGTATATTTATATATAAATAGCTTAAAACTAGATAAATGTTCATCTGAGGCAAATCAAGCCTTGTTACTAATAACAGCTGCAATAACATAGGAAACTGAAGCAGAGCTAGCCAAATTTTTGGATCCAAAAATATGTCACTAATATCTTCTCTTTCCTCCTTGCTGATTTTCTTTTATAATAGCAGTAATTTTCTGGCTTAATTAATTCCCTAATAGTTGCTAATTTCATTTTTATTAAAACTATAATTATATCAACTATCATTTTATTCCTGATTTTTTAAAAATTTTCTCTTCATTCCCTATTTTGTAAATGCTTAAAGTATGGAGATAGAGAATACATGAGGTCAAATATATGTATATGTGTTTATATATAATCTTCTATTTTATACTCATGTATTTACAAAATACCTTAACATTTCCAGATAAAAATATAAAAATATGTACATATAGATAAATGCAGCTTTTTAGTGGATATATTCATTTATCTATTTATGACTGAAATTCTAATTAACCAAATTTTTCAAAATATGTCATATTAACAGAACTTTTATAAGTAAAACCAGAAGATTTACTGATCTCCAATAAAAATAAGAAAAATAACATTATTAAATACCAAGCACAGCATTAAATACTTAATGTACTTTATCTCAGTTTTCTGACAGTTAATTATGTTAATGTTATGAATTAATGGTATAATTTTATATATGAATAAAATTCTAACAGACTTTAACTTCATAAATAACAGGAAAAACATTCAAAATCATATGTATTTGATATTTGCCACAAAACAAGTTTTTTCTAAAGATCTAATTGGTCCTGTAAGATGTTCTACCGATAAAAGAGTTTGTGGATCAAATGGATTTTTGGGAAACTTCCCAATTAAAGTCCCTTCCTATAGATTTAATAGGCACAGCATCTTAAAGTTGTGTACTGAAGTGCCTACTTCATATTAATTACCTAGAATTATTGATATTAAAACCCCTTTTCCCTAAAACACATTCTGAGGAAGTGGTATAAAGCATAAGAAATGCTAGCCCTGCCTTACTGTATGCTATATTCTTTATATACCTGTTATCTCATTTAACTCTCAAAGGGTCCCTGTTAAATAGATGTTATTTCCCCCATTTTGTAGCACTAGAAGCAGACTTACCAGTGAGTGGCAAGGCCAACATGGGAACTCTGATCTTCAGAATGTAAATTTCATTCTGTTTTCTATTGTTTCCCCTTCTATGAAGAACCTTGTTAGACTATTCCTGAAAAGAAATTACCTCTAAAGCAATTTCCTCAAAAGCTTTTATAGTAACCTGTTACCAAAGATAATAAGTACCCAAGGTTGGGAATTCAAAAGAAGACTGTACTCTAAAGAAAGCTGAATTCTTGGTTTCAGTAAAATCTTTTCTCAAGTTGAGCTTAAAAATGGTGCTCTAGGACAGTTTTAACTTAAGCTTTGAGGAATTTCTTTTGATTTGACCATTAGTCTACTATGGGATGTTTGGCAGTGTGTCCTTGGTAAACGTGGACTGCCTTCCCTACTTACCACACTTTCATGTAGACAAAAATGGATGGTAGGTTTCCATAATAGCCATTAAATTATTAGAACATTATTATATTCTCAAAAAAAAATAATCAATAACTGAGCTTTGCCCTTTTTGGCATATATCATCTAGAATTCCTGATAGATTTTAAAGGAATTCATGTGGATTTGGGCTTCACTTCTGCCACTGTGCAAATTCAGAATTCACATTCCGATTGGCATTACTCATCTTGCGCAGTCCAAAGATAAGTTTCACTTGTGGTTGGATTTGGAACCAGTCATTGCTTAAACAGAAAGAGTCTGCTCTTTCAACATTGACTACTTGGCCTTCTGTTCTTTGATTCACTGCAGTCCAGGACTGTAACCAAACTTGTCTCTCTAATTCTGTACAACTGTTTGTTTTACAACATTTACTCTTTTGCCATATTTAGTCCAAGTACATGAATTATTATATTTGCACTTTTGACTATGAGTTTTTTCCTTCCATACAAACAGGAATAATATTAAATGAAGGATTAAATAATAAATTTAAATATTGGTTAATAATAATCCACAGAGTTTGATTAGCCAATATTTTTCTGATTAATTCAATTAAACTATAATTTTTATATTTTATTTCCAGAGGCAGATGTCTGTGATTTCAGAACTTAATTGTTTCAAGCCCAACTTTAAATAATTCCTAGGGAAAACAAAATGTCCCTCTAAGTATCCTCATAGACCTCATTCTTAATATACTAATAAAATTTGCTTCATATATATTTTTCTGTTTCCTACGTTTTTGTGTTGCATGTTCCAGACATCTTGTTAGGCACTATAAAACATTACCGCCCAAGATGCCTTTATTACAGAATGGTTCTCACTGGAATATTTACAGGTAAGAGCCATAAGAGTGAGTACCAGTTATAAAATCCCCAACCCCTTGCTTACTAAAAGTAGGAAATTTGCATTCTGATAAAGCATTGCCATTGCTCTTTGGAGCTACTTATATAACAAGAATAATGATACCTAAAACTACTTTTAATTATAAAACTTGATATTTCAAGAACTCTTCTCTAAATTAAATCTACTCACTGACATAGCAGAATTCTATTTGTTTTTGTCATTATTTGTTTTCTGTGTTTACTTTAAGTGCAGTAATTATTTCATTTTATTTTTGGATAATTTTAATTTGTGAAGCTCAATTATGCCTACACATTCTAAGACCAAATCAGTGACTAGACAGGACAATCCCCTTCATCACGAATACTTTACCTCAAGAGTGCTGCTGAGGTTTACTGATGAAATACTGGCTAGGTAAGAGCATCCGGAAGTGAAATGTTCCACTTCCCTTGTCTGGTGTCCTGAACCCAAACAGCTGAATTGTAGAACTGTTTCTCCTCTGATGTCCTTCATTTTGTTTTGGTGTGGCATCTGTTCTTGGTAATGAAGTTTGAGGCATTTTCTTTTAGTGCTTCCTGTGTCCAGTTTTTGCCTTATTAGATGTGATTTAGTGTCATTTTTCAATCTGAGACCCTTTAAAAAATTATGCAAAGCAACTTAAGCATAATCTTTGTTTAGTTTCATTTTTCTAAACAAAATTTTGCACTGTCATCCCGTCAGCTCTCTCACACCCTTATGAACTGAATCCCAGCGATTCTACCTTTTGTGTAAAGAGGACATTATTTTATGCTCTACTCTCTAACATGGTCTTCCTTTCTTTGTTTTTCTTTGTCTTTCTCTTCTACCACTGGATGCAATGCACTGGCACTAGTGAACTGCAGCCCTCCCTTGACAGGGCTAGGAGTGCTAGTACCAACTGCTTGAGACCAGATACTAGTTTGCATTCACCAGAACGAGAAAGGTATAAAATAAAGACTTTCTTAATTTCTTATCATTTGTACTAGTGTTTTTATTTTTTTCAGTCACTGTGTTTTGTTTCATGTGAGCCTCACAGGTTTATCCATTCATATTCACATTGCTAACTGTCTACATTTCCCCCTCCCTTATTACATGTCTGTGTAGAGGTATGTGTATGTGGATAAGCCACAGGGCACACATACACATATTTCTGTGAATGTTGTTGCAAATGGTGTGATGTAATTTGTAAAGCTGTTGGCTACTGCTTCCCCCTCCCCTTTATTTTTTTTTTTTTCTGTTCTTTGGTTTATTTACAAACTTCTCAGGGAGCCTTCAATATGCTGATCATGTTTTAAGGTCCAATGAGTTATCTAAAGAGAGAGAGAGCTTTCCTGTTAGTTACACAACTAAATAATATTTTTAAGTTTAACAACAATCTTCCATAGCTCAAAACAGGAATTCTCTTATAATAGAACCGTTCTGTGTGCATCTCTTTTTGTTTTTAACCTGGTGTTCGAATATAGGTCATGTTTTGCATTAAATTACATTTTGACAACAAAAAATGGCATATTCATTAATGTCCACATAATATATACAAGGGTACTTCAAAAAGTTTGTGGAAAGATGAAATTCATTTAAGTTTGATGTAAAAATTTTTGAATCTGTGTGATTTTTATACAACATTTTATGAACTTTTTGAGTTCACATATACACATATAATTTTGCTTAAAACTTTTATTCTCATTTTAATTCAGTTCATTCAGTGATTATGTATCACAGTTCTTAATTGTAAGCATTTACCTTTTTCATTTTGATAGAACCTTCTATTCCAGCAAACTTGGTTATAATATATAGTGCAGATGATAATTACTGTCTGATTTAAATTAGAAATCATTCATTCACAAGATATTTTCATTCTATCTCTTTACAAATACTGAAGAAAAATATTCAGTTGCAATAATTTACCCCACTTCTTCTTCTTCAGAGGCTATGTAAAATTTATCTTCAGCACACTTTCTAGTCTAATTGTTTATTTTCTTATAAGGCATTCCTGGAATTAAACAGTAGGTTCAGAAATACATACATATTATTAATATCTTTGTTAGATTCTAATAAAATCTACCTTTAAATTATGTACTGTTTTATATTTATAAGCTTGTAATAGAAAAAATGAAGTTTAATTTGCATTTTGTATCCTTTTACCCTTTTAATAGAAATTTTTGTTGAAAGGGCTTCAGGCTCTTCTAAAATCACAATTAAAATTGTTTTATTATTCTATGTCATGTGTTTCCCCAAACTATAATTAAAGAGTAGCTAGACATTTTTAATTTTTTTAGTATTTATTATTTCCTGTATGTGTTGGGTTAGTGTTTTCTAAAAAAGAATTGCTTAAGTTCCTAGAAGCTTCTGATTATGACACCAACCTAATGTTTTTAATAGAATCTAAACCAATGGCATCTGACAAAAGTAAATGTAAGCTACAGTTATACATTTACTTGTGTTATAGCCGTACGAAAAAACGTAAAATTAATTTTGATGTCTTAAGCAAGCATATCAAAGCTGTCTTTTTAACATATGATCAGTATAAAGACTGTAATATTGCATTCACTTTTCCATGGTAAGCTATGCAGAGTACATTTTGTGCTTAGAGCACATCTGAACTTAGATGGGCCATTCTAGTGCTCTAGTGCTCAGCAGCGTCATGTGCCTTTGGCTACTGTCTTGGACAGCATAGGTTTGTTTTTATGGTGACACCTATCTGTCATATCTCCCCTGTGCCACTAAAGCCCCAACATTCACAAATAGGTGTGCTGGTGAATTCAGTCCCTCAGATACACCCTTAAAATGTGTCAAACTGAAGATGGCTAATCTAGCCTCTGTTACTGCACAGGAAATTCAAGTGGATGAACTTACCTTTAATAGAAGAAGAAGAAAATGAAAACCTCTATCGATGCTATATATTGACTAAAAATAAATTTTGCACTTAAAAGAGCAAGGAGAGGGAACTGGTACCATCAGCAACCCTCTTAATTTATTGAGGCTACTTTCTTGCCAAGAAGAATATTAAGCAAGTTAAGTTTTATTAGGGAAATTAAAGTAGTTGTAGATGCTTGTTGGTTTGGAAGATAGGGACTACATACACCTTTTTGTTCCTGAGAGTGTCAGTAACTCCAACACAGAACCTAACAGCATCAGGAGTATGGACTTTATTCTCTTTGGAGGATGCATCTGGGGTCCTTAGGAACATGGGGAAAATTGTAGGAAGAGAGAGGCTCAGAGTGTTTACCAGGGTGCTTATTACTGTGGTTGACCAGATGGCTTATTACATTAATGCCTACTATGTCCATAAATCATTAGATACTTTTTAAGCATTCATATCCTTAAGATAGTAAATTATTCCAACAAATTGGTGAACTAGTAAGTTTCAGTTTTAAATGATGATTTAAATGCTGTTACGCTAACTTAGTGCCACTTTCTGAAGTATCCTTACTAAATTTTAAAGCAAATTGAGTTTTGTGTTAACACGAAGGGTGGAGTTGCCAGAGAAGACTCAGTACTTGGCACCAAACTTTACTAATGACCCAGTAGACAAAGGCGCAGCATCCTTTCCTGAGGAAGTGGGAAGCCAGAAATCCACCTCTTCTCTTATTCTATGATCTAGCCCCGGTTAACAGATGAGTTTTGAGTAATAAGTGAAGAATCACTGTTTGGAAAGGAAACCATTTCCATTTAGGAATTCTTACCATTTGTGTTCTGTGGTTACATGAATAGAAAACTTACTTATGGATTGCCATAATTCAAGCATGCCTCACAAACCAAGAAATACTAGGTTATTTACAATAATGCCCGCTCCCCTTGCTTTCCTGCTTGGGAAGGAGTAAATTAAAGGCCTCATGTTGAGCTGTTCCCTCACAGGTATTTTTTTTTTTAATTAATGCGTAAATGTTCTAATACATTGATTTTTTTTTTAGAGCTACTGGAGAACAGTTACTCTTCTTGGATGTTTTGTCTTTTTTCTTAACCACTCACAGCAATCATTGCCTCACTTAAGTTCTCCTGAAAGGACGATCCATAGACTTGCGTCCGTCTTTGCCTTTCAGTAAATCCTGAAACTTGACTTCTGTGCCGTCCCACTGCACTGTCAGTATGCTGAAATTCCTCCGTGGGTTGAGTTGTCCAGTGGCGGCTTATGGCATTTCACATTAACCTTACTGTCACCAATCTGTAATCCCTGCAGCACTCTCTTGCCTTGGTTGTGACACAGTCTCCTTTGCTGGCTTGTCCTCACTCCCTACCCCATATAGATTAACATTTCCCTAGTTTCACCAGGGGTTCCTTTTTAGCTACATTCACACCATCCCTTCGATTACATTTCTAACAAAGGCTTCCACCAGAATATATGTGAGGACAGCGCTCCACTGTGGTTGATCAGGGCAGAATTTCCTCCTGAGTAGCAAGTCCAAATTTCCATTTGATGGCTTCCACATATACCTAGGCTCATCATCTGGAAATACTTCCCCTCTTGCTCTTTCTTCAAATCTAGTGCATCAATAAATCCTGTCATTGCCTCCCAAATAGATCAGTCACCTTAATGACAGCCCTTCTCCAGTTTGTGTCATCCCTGAGCCCCATTAATTGTCTTATAAACTTCAGTAATACTCTTCATTATTTTATATATTGTTTTTTCCAAAAAAATAAACTACCCTTCCTAACTTTGTTATCTACTTGAAAATTATACTCATTCTTTAAGAACTCAGTCAAATGCCATTTTTGTTTTTGGTAGAACATTTCTTCACCACTCATGCCTGCCAGTCCCCCTTACACACACACACACACACACACACACGCATTGCCTTCTTCCCCCCCCCCCTTTTTTTTTTTTGCCAATTAGAACTATTTACATATCTGGGAACACATAACTTAAATGCCTATATTAAAACTTATTACAGGGGCCAGCGCCATGGCTCACTTGGCTAATCCTCCGCCTGCGGCGCCAGCATCCCATATGGGCACCGGGTTCTAGTCCCGGTTGCTCCTCTTTCAGTCCGGCTCTCTGCTGTGGCCCGGGAGGGCAGTAAAGGATGGCCCAGGTGCTTGGGCCCTGCACCCGCATGGGAGACCAGGAGGAAGCCCCTGGCTCCTGGCTTCGGATCAGCGCAGTGCTAGCCATAGGGGCCATTTGGGGAGTGAACCAATGGAAGGAAGCCCTTTCTGTCTCTCTCTCTCACTGTCTATAACTCTACCTGTCAAATAATTAAAAAAATATATTATAATGTACTTAACAGTGTGTTTGTTTCTTCCACTGTGCTATACAACACTACAGGGAAGAGATTATATATTTGTCTTTTCCATTTCTAATAGCAGTGTTATTATTTTTCTCTTAGTAAATACCCAGTTTGGGGATTTTGTGAGCTTAGGAAAACACTCTCAAAGAAAAAGAAAAGAAAAGAAAAACACTCTCTATTTTCCACTATCAAATTTGTCTAATCATGAGCTATACTCAGATTCTAGAAAAACTGGGAGCTCTAATTCTCACCATACATATGATAGACAAGTTTGAATGCCATGACTATAAGACTGTAAGTCTGCTAACAAACCCCAAAATCTACCCGTTTTACTGAACCGCAAGAGGCTTCTGTGAGGCCTCCTGTCTCATGGCTGCTTTGCAGGTTTGTTCATCTTGGTATTCACTATGTATAGAAAGGCAACCTGACTTTACAAGGAGGAATCTAGAAAGCGATAAATCAGTTGTACGCGATTCCTCAACTGAAAGTCACCTGTCGTGTAAGCCACTCCCTCTGTGAGGTGCAGTAAAGAAAATGGGTGTGAAAGTCCCTCCATAGGGAAACATGAGGCCAAAGGGAGGTGGTTCCTGTCACAAAAACATTTGTAAAATGAATTTCATGAATCTTGTTTCAAGTGTAAGCATCTATATTAATTAAAATAAGTAAAATCACTTTAATGCAATATTGGGGGAGGTCTTTTTTATTTTTGTAAAGATTTATTTATTTGAAAGGCAGAGTTACAGAGAGAGAGAGAAGGAAAGAGAAAGAGAAAGAGAGATACCTTTCATATGCTGGTTCACTCCCCAAATGGCCAGAATGTCCAGGGCTGGGCTGGGCTGGAGCCAGTAGCCAGGTGCTTCTCAAGGTCTTCCATGTAGGTGCAGGAACCCAAGCAATGTGGACCATCCTCTGCTGCTTCCCCAAGCACGTTAGCAGGGAACTGAATAGGAAGTGGAGCTGCTGGGACTCAATCAGCGGCCATATGGGGTGCCAGCGCAGCAGGCAGCAGCTTAACCTGATAGGAATTAATATGAATAAAATGAGAGTGAAACAAAAATACATTCTTGTATAATCAGGTATCTCATTTGGTTTCTAATGTTATAACAGCTCACAAATATTTTTGATTTGTGCTACATAAAACAATTGATTTGCTTTTCACATAATCTCCTTTTTAGATAACTGAACTGCTCAGTTATATTTTCCAAAGATGTACATACCTTTAAAAGATATATGTATATATGCAACCATGTATATTAAACATACACACGTATTTGCTTTAAGATTTATCAATGCTAGGGAAGAAAAAGCCACAATATAACAAACATTTAATTTGCTCTGGAGGCATACCAGTTTTAATTCCGTTGTATCTCATCAGTGGATCCTGTCATGTGTATCATCACTGTTAGTTTTGTCATTAAAATTCTCATTATCTCTTACCTGAATTACTGCAAATCCTAGGGTCTTACTCCCTTAATATCTACCCTAATACTCACACATGTTTATTACTGATTCTGTGCTGTGCATAATGGAAACAATTGTAAAAAAATAAATAAAACACCACCATAGGCAGGCAGCTTATACCCTAATCCCTCAAACCTGTATCCATCAGAGTGATTCTTTTCTGAGCACAATGAAAGGAATGGACCCCAACAAACAGATGTTGCTGAATCAATACATTTACAATACCTGATATTTAAATACTAATAGTGTATTAAAATGTAAACAAGCAATATAACTTAGAAGCAGGCTGGTCTGAAAGAAAAGTCAAGAAGGGGCTGATACAGTGCCATTTCATTATTAAAATCTCCAGCGTAGCTTATCATATGAAAATAGTTGGACCTTTGTGTATTAGTTAACTAGGGTGGGTATAAAAATTCTAATTTTGGTCTTTCTGTGTGATGAGAGAAAAAGAAGTTTCACCATTTTAAAGGCATATGAAATATATTAGTCTATTTAAGTACAATTATGTAATAACAAAACTTAAGTGATGTCTACTTTTGAAACAAAAAGCTGGGTACATATAGACCCTGCTCTCATTATATCCAATGTACATGAGGGGAAAGGTAAACAGATTTCTTGAATGGGTGTTACATGTCAGCATATTCAGAAGGACTTCGAGTATAAAGATATAGATGTGTTCTGCTAAACATGTTCGTTCAAGATTACCTTTTAATTGCTTGCCTGTACCATTCTCCTTCATAATTTACTGCATGCTTCATCATTATTATGTTTTATTTTTCTTTACTTTTATGTTTAAATAAATACAAGGACTGGAATTTTGCCTCAGGAAGGAAGGTTATACATAAATCCTTTTAAGTGAATATTACTACTTCACAGAAGAATTTTTTGTGTTTTTGTATTTTTGTGTTTTCAAATAACAAAAAAATTCAGCTGTTCTATATTACATTAATAAAATCTTGAAAACACTGAATTTGAATTTTTTAAAAACTATTTTAGAAAACATTTTTAATCCATAGAACAAAACCTATAAAGTGAAAAGAAACATTTTAGAGCCTTCAGATTGGATTAGCCAACCATTTAAATAATTTGAAATAATCTAATAATTTAAAATTGATGCAGAATTTTTTAAAAAATTACATTTAGAACTTTTAAGAGTATATGCCACTCAATCTTCTCTTCTCAAATTCTATTATTGAACATCTTCACTTGCTACATGGTTTCCTTAAAACTCAAATTGAAATACGCTAAGTTTGGTTAAGACTGATTAAACAGACTACAAGGGAATTTCAGAACTGAGTACCTGCTGACATCAGGCGTCTTGGTCATATGTTGACAACCCTTGCAGCTTTTGTCCTGATGATCTAGTAAATCCAGTAAGCCATATATGAAGTCAAGAAAGGTGGATTTTTTTTTTCAGTGACATTAGAAAAAGCTTCCCCCCCACCTTTTTTTTTTTTAAAGATTTATTTATTTATTTGAAAGGCAGAGTTGCAGAAAGAGGCAGAGGCAGAGGCAGAGAGAGGGAGAGAGGTCTTCCATCCTCTGGGTCTCCCAAGCAGTGCAAAGGCCCAAGGATTGGGCCGTCTTCTATTGCTTTCCCAGGCCATAGCACAGAGCTGGATCCAAAGTGGGGCAGCCGGGACTAGAATCAGCGTCCATGTGGGATGCCAGCCTGCACTGCGGGCAGAGACTTTTCCCGCTATACCACAGTGCCAGCCCCAAAAGTTTCCTTCTGATAATTATAAAATCTTATAGCTAAAGAATTCCTTTAAGATAATTCATTTATTTATTTGTTTATTCCTTTAAGATAATTACATTTATTTACTTCTTCACAAATAAATGTTTGCTCTGCTTACAGATTTCATTTTATACCGTGTATAATGAATATTACTAAGGCTTATCAAAATAAGAATTAAATTATGAAGTACAGAATCTATACTTTGCCTTTTTGAGGTGATTTTCCAGTCCTGTTGTTCCATATATTCCTTTGTTTTAAGAGTTACTAAATGTCCTGTTTTTTCCTGTCTTGTTCACTGGGCAAACAGGGGTAGATGGTCCCCCTCCCTAGATAGGAGACGACCTCCTAGCCCCAGGATTCAAATCCAGCATGCATCTCCGGAGAATGACAGGTACTAGTCAACTCCTCCTCACAGACGAGCGGCGTGGAGGGGCTTTAGGTCACCGAATAAAGGGTAACCAGGAGTGTGGTTGTGGCATGCCTCCTATGAGGAGCCACAGCCACTTGTGTTCTGTGATTCCATCAACAACCGCATCCAGCTCTAATAAAGCACCTCAGAATATCTGGCTAACAGAGATTAGAGCGCAGATGGCAACTGCACACACACAGTTGAGTCAGGGTCCAGTGAAGGAGCTGTTTCCACCCGCATTTGTTTCAGTGTTTTGAATCTCTAGAAGCATATTTAAGTACTGTTTTTGTTTACATCTGAATCCTATAAATTCTCAGGTGCTTAAGAGTGTATTAAAATCTACTACAGAGCCAAATATTCATTATGGTTGATCATTTAATCTCAACTGTCTTGTTTTAGTACTATCTAAGCTTGTTAATCATGAACTTTAGGCTTTGGGTATATTAAAAATTGCCTAGTTTAAAGCAGAACACCTGGTTATTGTACACTTTCTGAATATTGTGTTTTAAACAAAGCATTTTCAAGGGCAAGGGTTAGGCCTCAAGGTAGGTTTTTAAAAATAGCATCAGTGCTTTGAATCCACTTCATGCTAATAAAGTCACAAGTTCCACAAAGTATATTTTCTATTGCTTTTGTAATTATTCTGTTTGTTTTTTGTGGTTGTAAAATTGAATTGTGGTGTTTGTTGTTACTTTAGTTTTTTGTTTGTTTGTTTGTTTTCTGACTGGTCACAAATGTTTTGGGATATTTTAGGTTCTTTTCTGGTGTAAGCAGAAGTTAAGTCAACATATTAATGATGTTCATTAAGAGGATAAGGAGATGTAGTATTTCTGAAATTGAAGAAGGTTCTCCTTTTTTTGTGTACATACGTATAGCAAAGTGGTTGTAGCCTGTTATTAATGACATCTTTTTATTCTTATTCTGTAAACAAAAATATTTTTATGAATTCAATTTAAAAGAAAAATTAAACTGCCACAAGAAGAAAAATGTTATTTTACAAATTTTGGAAAAGACCACAATTTTCTTCAGATATTTTCTGAATGTTTCAGACTATTTTAAACATTTATATTTAGGATTTAAAATTAATTTCTTCTGCTGTTACCTGATTTCTAGGATAGAAATTCTGGAAGAATTAGTAAAATAGCTCATCTAAAAATTATTACTAAGTGTAAAGCCCTTTAAAATAAGAGCAAATCTGTATCAAATAAAAATTTAATCCTATACTGCTACTAATTTGTCCAGTAAACACTTAGATGGGCCCCTATTGTGGATATCATTCTATTCACTGGAGTTCAACCGTGATTAAGGAAGATAAGGGTCTGGCTGTCAAGGAACCTAGAATTTCCTTTTAGGAAAGGTAATTCTGGAAAATCATTGGATTTATTCCAAAACAAATAAGTGATTTCACCCAATGTAATAAATGCTTAAGTATAAGACAGGTAAATATGATGATCTTTCAAAAGTGAATATAAGTTTATCTGGATATTGATTAATCCAAATGCTAACCAAGTAATAGTTTCAATTTTTGTATGCCTGTCATTAGCTTCAATTAATGGTATATAATTTATGTTATTTTATTTTCCAGATGCATATGTAATTGTAAGCGTAGATTTTAGTAGGGAAATTATTCTATTTGATAAAATTTTTAAACCAAATTTATTCAATTCAAAATTATGACTATGCATTTTGCTGTGTTTTAAAAAAAATATTGGGAGGAGTTACAGACACATCACCCATCTGCTGGTTCACTCCCTAACAGAGAGGGCTAAGCCAGGCAGAAACCAAGAGCTAGGAACTTCATACAGGTCTCCCAAGTAGGTGACAGAGGCCTAAATACTTGGGCCATCTTCTGCTGCTTTTTCTAGGCCTTTATCATGGAGTTGGATCAAAAGTGGAGCAACTGGGAAACAAACTGGCATCCATATGGGATGTTGGCATTGCAGGCAGCGACTTTACTGAAATGCCACAATGACAGCCCCGCTTTTTTTTTTTTTTTATGATGGCTTATTTCTAAGTAAGTCTTGAATTTAACCAGAAGATGTATGTTTTAAAATGATTTGATACTATGATTTAGTATTGTATAGAGTAAAAAAAATTTGTAATAAACTTTTATTAAAATATAACAGTAGAGGCTGGTGTTGTGGCATAGCAGGTAAAGCTACTGCCTGCAGTGCCAGCATCCCATATGGCCACCAGTTCATATCCCAGCTGCTCTACTTCAGATCTAGCTCCCTCCTAATGTGTCTGGGAAAGCAGTGGAAGATGGCCCAAGTGTTTGGGCCCCTGCTACCCACATATGAGACCTGGATGAAGCTCGTGGCTCCTGGCTTCAATCTGGCCCAGCCCTGGCAATTCAGGCTATCTGGGGAGTGAACAAGTGGATGGAAGATTCTTTCTCTCTCACTTTCAAATAAATAAATCTTAAAAAAATAAAAAATATAAAAATTATATGTATCCATAAAGATGAGAGAGAAATCACTATAAACTAATGCTAAATTCATGGGTAGCTATGTCAGTCACTTAGCAAAACTTAATAAACATGTGCAGGTCACCGCTCATCAACTTTGGACTCTCATTCAGAATTTTTACCAATTTCTAAATGCAAAGAGCATGGCATCAGATTTGGATGTAGTTAATGTTTATACAAATTTGGTCATTAGGTGGCTTTTGCCGTAGGACATTGAAAGCCAGGGTTCTAAAACCAGTGACAGTTTATACTGTCAATCTTTGGATGTTTTGTATAATGGCCATGTTTGGTTGTTTTGAAAATAATAATGTGACACAAGTAAGAAATACTTTGTCTTTTTTAAAAGATTTATTTTTATTTATTTGAAAGACAGATTTACAGAAAGAGGTAGAGACAGAGAGAGAAGTCTTCCATCTGATGGTTCACTTCCCAGATGGCCGCAATGGCCGGAGCTGCGCCAATCTGAAGCCAGGAGCTTCCTCCAGGTCCCCCACATGGGTGCAGGGGCCCAAGGACTCAGGCCATCCTCCACTGCTATCCCAGGCTACAGCAGAGAGCTGGATCAGAAGCGGGGCAGCCAGGACTAGAACTGGCACCCATACAGGATGCTGGCACTTCAGGTCAAGACTTTAACCCACTGTACCACAGTGCCGGCCCCAAGAAATACTTTTTTAAGAGGGTTCTCAAGTACCTTCAAATAAGTCAATACCTTTTGGTGCCCTCTGGTTTCCCATATGTACACAGACACACATGTATTCATATAGATGTACACACATACCCAATTTTAAATGAATCACTTCTCCATAACCTAATTTCAGCAATAAGCATTCCTAATGTTATCTGAAATGGTACTCTATATATATATATATATATATATATATATATAGTTTATCTATATCTAGAACTAGTTTAGAAGTTATAGGCTATTTAAAGTAATGATGAAAATATATAATTTTGGACCCCTTCATGAATATTTGTGACTTAAAAAATTTCAGTGAAAATTTGCCTGCATTTTATTACTAAAAATGCTAAGAGTTTTAGAAAATCATCATTCTGGTAACAAAGTATCTCTTTCAAAATGGCATTATTTTAATAGGTAAAAAGTGCCCTTTTTGAACTTGGGTATATATAAGTCTATGAATCTTAGTATAACTTAGATCTGCGTGTGGCTTGAAATTGCCACATTTTGTGAATAGCCATTTAGGGAAAAAAATGTGTTTTAATGTGTTCCTGAAGCATGAATTTTCTGAGTTTAGTGCTGACAGTTTAACCATTCATCTTTAAGTAGGAAAGGCTGTTGTAAATTATTATTGTTACCTAATTCAACTTCAAACTATTTTGGTAAATACTTTATCCAAGAAGATACAAATCCTTGTAGGGTACGTCTTGAAGTGTGTTTTAACATGTTGTTAACTTGAAGTTTTGACTCCAGCATTTTGATTGAGAATGATTTCGTATCAATACAAAGGCACACGTTGGAGATACCATAGGTTCAATTCCAGGTCAACACAATAAAGTAATAAAATGAGCCACACAATTTTTTTTTTTTTTTGGTTTCCAAGTATATGTAAAAGTTAAGCCTATTATGTGTACAGTATAACAGTGTGCGTATCCTAATTGTAAAATGCTTCATTATTAAAAATGCTAGTAATGATAGAAGCCTTCAAGTAATAATTTTGCTGATGTCGGGGGTGGGGTCTTCCCTTGATGTTAATGTCTGCTGACTGATTCAGGGTGTGGTTGCTAAAGGCTAGGTGGTAGTGACATTTTCTTAAAATAAGAAAACCATGAAGTTTGCTGCATCTGTAACTGTCGCTCCCCGTCTTCATGGGGGAACGACACTAAACCCTGCCTAGGCTTCATATCCGAGTCACGGCACCATTATGTCGCTCCCCCTCTTCGTGGAGGAACGACACAGGACCCTGCGCTGTTCTTTCGTCTGCTCGGCCCTCCCCGGGTTTGCTGCTGGTTCTTCCCGGGTTGGCTACTATCCCTTCCACCTCCGTGGAAGGGCAGTTCCCCCTGGCCGCTTTCCCCACTTCCGCAGGGCAGCGGCACACCGCCGGCCGGCTCTCTGGGGGGCTGCACGGGTTCCCTTAGATGTTCCCCATAGATGTTCCTGGTGCATGCCGTCTCTCTCCTCCTTTATAGTCCTCCTCCGCCAATCCCAACTCGGCTGCCCACACGCCGAGTACGCTGCTCTCCTCCAATCAGGAGCAAGTCCTACAGTTTATTAGTTGAACTGGAGGCAGCTGTGCGGAAGCTGTTTACTTCTCTCCCAGCGCCATATTGTGGGAGAGCAGATGCATAGAATAAGTCCTAATTCCAGTAACTCAGTCCAGTCCGGATTGCTCCCCACAGTAACCATGAGAGATCTCTTTGTAGCATGCGATGCTATTTGATTGCATTTTACACACAGTAGAACTTGTTTAAAAGCTGGTGTCGGGCCGGCGCCGTGGCTCAATAGGCTAATCCTCCACCTTGCGGCGCCGGCACACCGGGTTCTAGTCCCGGT